TACCCATCCCTGGTGTCGGAACGTGACACTCCGACCTCATTCTATCCTGGTGTCGGAACTTGACACCCAATCCATATTCTATCCTGGTACCGGAACGTGGCACCCGATCCATATACTATCCTGGTGTCGGAATGTGACACTCCGATCCTCGTATACTATGCTGGTACCGGAACGTGGCACCCGATCCATATACTATCCTGGTGTCGGAACGTGACACTCCGCTCCTCATATACTATTCTGGTACCGAAACGTGGCACCCGATCCCCTAATCTCACTACTTTCGTTCATCAAGCCTTCTTTTACACTAAGGCATCGTCATTAACAAAGTAGATTAGGGTTTCTCAAGATTTAGGATTCAATAGCTTCATCATGCTTATTTTATCACAATTACATAATCACATTCATGCAAGCATACAATTAAGCATATAGAAGGGTTTACAATACTACCCGTACATATCATTCGCTATTAAGAGTTTACTATGAATAGTATAAAAACCATAACCTACCTCCACCGAAGATTAGTGATCAAGCAAGCAAATTCCCCAAAGCTTTGTGTTTTTCTCTTCTCGTTCGATCCTCTCTCTCTCTTTGTTCTTTCTATTTTCTTTATTCAAACCCTCTTCCTTTTACCCTAATTAGCATATAATTAAGAATAAAAGATGGCAATAATAACCCACTAATTTACTCAAGGTTACCTCTTTTAACCCCCAAGTAATTAGACTTATTAACATTAACCCACTAAATTTATAATTAAAGCAGGAATAGTAAAAAACGTCCCTTAAAACATTAAAGAAATCCGACTCAGCCTGGGATTACGCAGCCTGTGACGGCCCGTCGTGCCTGCGACGGTCCGTCCTACTGCTCTGTCACAGAGTTCAGAGACTCAATTCCCTTAAAGAGTCTATGACGGTCCGTCACGCCTGTGACGGTCCATCCTGCCATTCCGTTACGAAGTTTAGAGAGTCGATTTCAGTACCTATTTTTCAGAATTTCTAAGTGTTTTGAAACGAGACCCCCTCGAAGGTCCGTCGTGCCCATGACGGTCCGTCGTGGGATCCGTCGTCTCAGCCAATTTTCCAGAAATAACATCTGTTGCTCGAAACGACTAAACAGGTCGTTACAATAGACACCAATTTACCCATCCTTCGTCCTCGAGCGATCATAAGAAGAAAAACAAGGGCGAAAAGAAGTACCTGAATCTGTAAACAGGTGTGGGTATCTTTCTTGCATATCAGCCTCTTTCTCCCAAGTGGCTTCTTCAACGGGTCGATTCTTCCATTGAACTTTGATGGATGCAATCTCCTTTGACCTCAGCTTGCGAACTTCTCTATCTAAAATGGCAACAGGCTCCTCCTCATAAGACAAATTTTCATCAAGCAGAACTGAATCCCAACGAATGATGTTGTTTCCATCCCCATGATATCTTTTCAACATAGACACATGAAATACCGGATGCACTTCGGACAGCCCTGGAGGCAAGGCTAACTCATAAGCCACCTCCCCTACTCGCTTAAGTACTTCAAAGAAACCAATATACCTTGGGCTTAATTTACCCCTTTTACCAAAACGCATCACCCCTTTCATGGGTGAAACCTTCAGCAAGACTTGTTCACCCTCCATGAACTTCAAGTCTCTAACCTTTCGATCTGCATATTCCTTTTGCCTACTTTGCGCCGCTAATATCTTTTCTTGAATAGATTTC